CAATCATTAAATGTGATCTACAGACGATCAATATATTGTACAATATAAATTATTGTTCAATATATTGACAATAATATTTTCCCCTTCTTTTTCTATCTTTAATTTGAAAAGGGAGGGCATAATGCACGTCCACTATGGTGAATGCGTTAGAAGAATTTACGCGTTTCCGGGGTAAATCAGACATAACTTAATAGTTTTAGCGTTAAGCTTAAAACATTTGATGCAATTTTTTACAGTTATTCCCGCAAGATTCCTGCCTGCTATGGGCTACTAATCCTCCCTTATAGTACTCAAAAGAAGTTGAGGGCCCCCGTGAAAAAGACGTTCGTGCTCTAAAGAAAACAGTAGTTTGGTAAAATGATGGCGTGGATGTAGCAATATGAGATGTTTGTCGTTACAGAAAAATTCAGAGTGCCTTAACCTACCTCTAACTCGAAGAATATTGTTTGCATCAAAAAACGGAGCGATACTTAATAGTAAATCACTTGTGTTTTCAACTTGATTGATCCTTATAGCCTCTAACTCATTTTTAAAGGAATCATGTTGACAAAGTCTAACCAAAGTTTCTAAAGCAATCTTAAATTCTTGTACCCCTAGAGGTACGTTTCTTTTATTTTCTTTATTTAAGCAATTGTATTTAAAACGAAAAGTGTAAGCAACTGATTTTTGCATTTTAAAAACTTTAGAAAAGCGCTGGAAGGAAAATAAATGAAAATGAAGTGTTTGATGATGTAGATAAAACAATAGATTGCCTTTCGGTCAAATTAACAACATTTTCGCAAGAATGTTTTGGCCAAAAACAATCTTCACTTGCCAGCCAAGAAGGTCCTTGCCACCAAAGTTCTGAATATAGAATCTCTCTAGAGTATAGACACCTAGAAACAACGTCAGCTGGGTTATTGTACGTTGAAATATATCGCCATTTTGAATTTTCTGTTAAAGATTGGATTTCCGAAACTCTATTGCGAAACGCTAAAGCTATAGTTGAGTCCGACCATAAAGTAAAATATTCGAATTCCATTTACACCGACTTTTTAACTTTGGAATTAATTCTAGACGTGGAATTGTTAACGTTTTTAAGGGAGCCACCTTTGATTTTGCACACAGTAATTCAGCATGTACAGTACCAGTCGCATTTACACTTCGCAAATAGATGCAAGCACTTCTTCTTCTTCAAGTGCCGTCTCCATCAATGGAGGTTAGCGGTTATGGTAGCAAACGTTTGTCTATCTTCAGCTGCTCTTAAGAGTTCCTCAGATCCAAGTCCTGTCCAGTTTCTGATATTACGTAACCAGGACAATTTTTTTCTTCCAATTCCTCGCTTTCCTTCTATTTTGCCTTTTATTATCAACTGAGGGATGTAGTATTTCTCGTTGCGCAACAAATGCCCTAAATAACTGGTTTTTCTTCTTTTGACTGTTCTCAATAGTTCTTTTTCTACATTGAGTCTAGCTAGTACTTCTTCGTTTGTTTTTCGTGCTGTCCAAGGAATTTTTAAAATTCTACGGTACACCCACATTTCAAATGCCTCGATTCTATTCAGGCTCTTTATTTTTAAAGTCCACGTTTCGAAACATTTTACAAGTTTTAATCTCAATTTAATATTTATATGTGTATCGCAGAATAGAACGCGCATCTTAAAGAAACTATCGCTAGCTTGAGCAATTCTCGCTTTAATTTCTTGTTCTGGGTCCAGCTTGAAATTAATCCAACAGCCAAGGTATTTGTATTGGTTTACCTGTTCTAAAATATTCCCATTTATTTTTATAGGTCAGGGGATATTCTGTTTTCTTTGGATCACCATTACTTTTGTTTTTTTTTTTCGTTGATCTTCATTCCAAACTCTCGACAAGCATCCTTGAGGTGGTCTATAACCCCCTGTAAGTTTGTGTCTGTATCAGCCAGTAGGACAGTGTCATCTGCATATCTTATGCTAGATATTGGTTCTCCATTAATTTTTATTCCTGTGGAAAGGTTTTCCAAGGCTTGCTTGAATAGTAGTTCCGAGTAAAGATTGAACAGCATAGGGGATAGTATGCATCCTTGCCTTACTCCTTTATTTCTACTAAAATTTCTAGATGTATGATCGTCGATCCTAATCTTGGCACTCTGCCTCCAATATAAGTTCTTAATTAATCGGAGATCTTTACTATCCAAGTTGATGCTCTGCAAGGAATTTAACATTTTATTATGGTTTACGCGATCAAATGCCTTTTCAAAGTCTACAAAACATAGAAAGACATCCTTTTGTTGGTCGTAACACTTTTGCAGCAGTAAATTTGCAAGCACCGTAAGCCATTTCGGACGTGTTAACAAAACCATCTAGCTGCACAGAAATAGCATCCTTGCAAATAGCTTGCATATTCAACTTCAATCCATTTAATGCTGGAATTTGTTCAGGTCTAAGTATTTTACCTGTATTTGCTGCATCCCATAACATTATGTCTGCCCAAAGCCTTTGTATAAGTACTTTAGCCAATATACAAGGACTAATTAGACCAAGAGGATCGAAATTTTTCTATACTGCAGATAAAATAGAACGCTTACTCAAAGCTGCTTGTCACGTATTAGCATTGCTGCAGTATAAAAGTAGATCGTCTCGGCAAGATCAATTTAAACCTAAAGTAATAATTATTTTAATGTCGTCAGCAAAGGTAAATATTTCGTGTTTAGATTCCTGGGATGTTATGTTAGATAAACAATAAGGATTTTTTGAGCACCATTTTCTAAGTGAGAATCCGCCTGATTCCAAAGTTTCAGATATTTATTGACAAATGTATAGTGATTGTGATACTGTAGAAGCTCTATAAAAGATCGTCTACATAGAATGGAAAGATAGCTTGCTGCAGATTGCCATAAGTCACAGTATTTTTGCTATATCCCAAGATATAAGACAACTTTCTGCTTGAACTTTAGAATTTCCTAAAACTGACAGGTTTTGCATTAATGACATGCGTACTATAAATCGACCTGAATAATCCCTGATAGTGATATCCTTGAAAAGGCTTTCACACACTTGTTCAGTTTCGGACAATGGTTTGAAGCTTGAAGTTCCTCTACTTCCCAGAATTTAGCTAGTTTATTCAATAGTTCCTAATTTATGCTTAAATTGCCGGACATGGTTTTATAAATTCATTAACTAATAAGGGTCCTGAGACTACCCAGCCCAACAAATTTTCAAATAACAGCGGCATATTTTTTCCAAGTGAATGCTTTTTTGTTCCCAAAATTGACCAAAACAGATCCGCTCCAATTAGTATATTGATTGGGGCCGGTGTATTAACTCAAGGATCCCCCAAAATAATATTACTTGGAATTGAATAAACTTGTACATTAATTCGGTATCCTGGTCTATTTCAGAGCTAAAATTAGCTGTATCGTTTTTATCATGCCATGACACTATGAAACAGAGCTAGAAGTACAGATATACGACATATATGCAAGGTGGAGAACATCAAGAATTGGGTAAGAAATAGAAGAGTAGAATGGAACGATCATATAAGCCGAATGACAACAAATAGAGTGGTAAAAACGATAAGAGACGGTTCCAAAATAGAAAGACGATTAGTAGGAAGCGCACGAAAAAGATGGAACAAGAACTCATTGGAGGCACATTGAAAAACAGAAAGAGTCATGTCTACATAAAAAGAAGAAGTTTTTATCATGCAAAATTGTATTGTGCCTTTTTCTGCATTCTTTGCATGGCCCTAGCCTACATTTCCTTGTGGAATGCCCAGATCTTAAACAATTTTGTAACATATATTTGATTTTCTTACAAGGTCCCTTTTGTGTACTAAACTTACATGTAAAAAATCAGGACATATATAAATTGTGTGATCCCTCTTGCAATAACTGCATAGTTGGTTAGTATTAAAATTAGAAGCAATTAAAGACGTACATGTATTGTATGGCAACCTTTGTTTATTGTGAGTATAATTGCTCCTGGAATCTATTTTATTAATTGGAAAATTATTTTTTGATTCTAATGTATCACAAAAATTAGCACTTCCCTGTAATAAATTCTGTTAAAGTGGGCAAATCGTCTAGTTTACAAGTTTGTTTTTCTCATTCTAAATTTGAACCCGAATCTAATTTGTTCGTGAACCAAAAGATTAATAGAGGATCCCAATTAGTGATATCTTGACCTAATTGTTCAATTGCTCCCACATGAATGGTGTTTATGAATATCGTCTACAAAACTCTGAACTTTTTCTGTTGTTGGTTTATGAATATTGACTATTCAGTACTATGAATGTGTTCGTAAATAAGTTCTTTCTTATTCTCGAACCTACTTGTAATAGTGTCACACGCAACATCATATCATTATGTATCATCATGTCATTAAATTTTAAATTAACGTTAATTTTTTTCATTACTTGCTATTTAAGTTTAAGATATTTTTTTTGTGATTATTATACTGTCTCTTATCTTCCTTTTTTTTCTTTAATTTAAACAAGAATTAAGTATTTATCGCTTTTATTTAATTAAATACCTCAACATATCTATCTAACTATAAGTTAGAATATGTACATACCAACTAAATTAATTGTGCATTATTTATACAAAAATTTACAGGTGATCATTCTTATTATAAAAATCATTTTTACACAATAATTGACAAAACTTAAGAATATCATTATGTTTATCAGCATGGAAAGTAGTTACCATGCAATATAACAATTAGAATAAACAATAATCCCCAGCATGCCAAGTAGAAACTAAGCAATCGTGGTAGATTTGCAATTATCTACAATCAGTTTAACAGAATAATAAAAATGTCCAATAGAATACTTTTTACTGCATTATTTGTTCAAATTGGTTCAAATTAAAATCATCCCCTTAAAGAAAAACTTAACCAACAAGAAAAACTTGTCAAAATAAAGAAATAAATTACATTTCAGATATAAACAATTTTGTCTATTTATATTTTTTTTAATATAAAGATTAATATATTTTCTAATTTCGTCAATGTATGTGTAACAACTGTAATAAAGACCATTCTAATGCATGTCAACACCAATAAGCGTAATGCCTTCTTTCTCCCCTACGTCTTCGTCATCTTCGTCTTCCTCATCCTCCTGAAAAATAAATAATATAAATGAAAAGGCGACGATATTAACTTTTACAAAAGTATATGAATCTAAGGGTGCGTTCATTTCGGAGATCATCGCATCGTATGCTCGCTTAGATCATAGCAGTGATGACAGTGAACTTTGAGAGTGAAGGATGGCATTTTTAAAATAATGCATTTATTTTACCTGGCGATGATAATATGATACCATTCTATGGTCCGCGCTAGGGTCGGCTCCTCGTTATGAGCTCACACTAAGTAAGTAGCTCGCCAAACGTAGACCTGTCAATAAGCTTTTTTCTCTATAGTAAAATGCTAAGCGATAGTCACGAAATTAGTGACACGAAATAGTTGGAAGAGTCCATTTACTCGACGAGGCGAGTAGAAAATATGTAAACTTTTTCAATTGTATTACAATCTATAACAAGGATATTAGCTAATAGCGGTTTTATGTACTTTCGAATATACAAAAAGTGTTAAAATAAATAAATAAACTTTGTAAATCGATGATTGTAAATATGAGAAATAATTTAGAGCATTCTATAAGAAAGTTGAACAAAGAAACATTAACAAAAAAGAATTCAAGGCAAGCACAAGCCAATTCAGAAGTCATAATGATGATCTATTACCAACAAGGAAAGATGTATTGAATAGATGGGTGGAATACTTTCACCGGGTACTTTAATAATAGAAAGAAGAAAATCTGGAAGACGAAAGAGATCGGGTAAACAGAACAGATGAGCGGAAAGAAGAACCTCCAACGATTCTTGAAGTTAAAGATACAATTAAAAAACTAGCCAGAAACAAATCAGCCGGAATTAATAATTTCCCAGCTGAAGTATATGCAGAAGGTGGCCACGACACCATAATGGCACTACTTCTTTTTGTAGTTCCTTCTCCTATCGGAGGTTGGTTATCATCACAGCTATTCGTACCTTATTGGCGGCTGCTCTGAAAAGATCTACTGAGCTGTAACTCTACCACTCTCTTTGCCAGGTTTTACAGGAAATTCTTCGTCTTCCTATGGATCTTTTATAACCGTTCGTGCTTTATAATCTCGCAATCCTTTTGTAGCCTTCTTAACCCTTCTGCATTTGTAACTAGTTGGGTCCAGAATATTTTCAAAATCCTTTTATACCACATCTCAAATGATTCCAACTTCTTTATATTATCCACTTTTAGTGTCCAGCTTTCCATTAAATACAACAAAGTCGAGAACACGTAGCATCATAAAGCTCTTATCCTCAGCTCCAGAGAAAGGTCTCGATTAACAAACATTGTTTTTATTTTTATAAATACTTGTCTTGCAATTTCAATGCGTGTCCTTATTTCTCTACCTTGTTCATTGTTTTCATTTACCCAGGTTCCCAGATATTTGTAGTTATTCACTCTTTCTACTTGTTTTCCCTCGATATATAGCTTTCCTACTGTATGTTGCTTAGAAGTAATCATGCACTTGGTTTTCTTAACGTTCATTTGTAGTCCATATTTTATACTGACTTGATGTAATCTCTTTACTAAGCGTCGCAGTGCTTCTAGACTGTCTGTAAAAACAGCGGTGTCGTCTGCTAATCTTACATTGTTCAAGATTTTTCCGTTTATTGATATACCCTGCTGTTCCTCTGATATTGCTTCCTTAAAAATAGCTTCGCTGTACAGATTGATTAACAAAGGGGACAACACGCAACCCTGTCTAACACCTCTTTTGATTTCTATAATTTCTGTATCCCAGATGTAGATTCTGTATCGCAATGGCACTACAGCAGCTCATAAAAGAAATATGTACACATAAATCCCTCCCTAGTGAATGGAATACTTTACACCATGCACAAAAAAGGAGATATCTTTGAATGTTCTAACCATAGAGGAATTACGCTTCTAAATGCAACGTATACAATATCTTCAACTATACTATGCCACCGCATGGTACCATACGCAGAATGAACAGTAGGAAACCACCACGCAGGTTTCAGAGGTGGTATATTGACAATTCATCAGATTGAAACTAAGACAAATTGTAGAAAAAACACTTGAATATGGCATAGATACTCATCACATATTTATAGACAACAAAGCAGCCTACGACTCTGTAAATAGTAGAGAACTGTTCAAAGCAATGAAAGAGCTAGGAATAGCAAATCAGTTTAATACCAAATTTAACAAAACTAACTCTTGCAAAAGTTTAATGTAGGATAAGAATACAGGGGGAACTGACTGAACCTTGTAAAACAAATATCGGGCTACGCCAGGGAGACCTCCCTCAGGGAGTGAAAACTTTCTTTTTCGAGGAGTACCAGGTACTTTTAGAACACATCAATAATACACCATAAAATTCAGTTCACTATGAAACTGGAAGAAAACGAACAACTACTATTTTAATAATAAAGGAGGAAGGATACATACAGTATACCGAAAACCCACACCTACCGATAGATATTTACACGTTGATTCACATCACCATCCTGCACAATTACATTCAGTCATTAAAACCCTATTACAAGCTCAGAAAGACTGACAGAAGACGAAAAGATCCCTACCGGAAGGGCGTGTGCCGCCTAAATTCCGGCTATATATATATATATATATATATATATATATATATATATATATATATATATATATATATATATATATATATATATATACATCGAAATGGCCCAGAATGCTCAAAAAACAATAAAGGGCCCAACAGAAGAGAAAAACCGATCGCAAGAACCATACTACAATATGTAAAGGGTACAACAGAGAAAATAGGAAGAACAAACAAAAATAAAAACGATATTTAATATCGACAGATATTGTACCATCCACCAGTGTACGAAAGATCTTACGAAATGATCTTTTTTGCGTGCTTACAAAACACAAATTACGCCAGAATTGACACACGATTGGTTGAATGGCAATAGGCCAAACTGACGTCTTTAGAGTTAAGATCATTCTCAAGTGTATATGAAGACACCGTTACATCTAGTACACAGTACACAAAAGTACACATTCCTACAAAATATAATGCAAGGAAAAATCCAAGCAGCAGAAATCCAGGCCGTGGAAGAATGTCATGGATCAGAAATTTAAGAGAGTGGTTTGGCTGTACCACTAACGAATTATTCAAAACAGCAGTAAATAAAATTAGAATCGCCATGGTGATATCCAATCTCCGATAGGAGAGGCACCCAAAGAAGAAGAAGACATCTAGAAAAACGGACTGGTTGTTGTCCTTTATGGGATGGTTTACTCGATTTGTCCATATTTTTTCAAACACGATGCTGGCCAGATCAGTACAGTCCAATGACCGCTATAGAGCCATGATCACGGACTTTTTTGTTGCCTAATTGAATATACTTACGGTGGAGGAACTGTAGTTTCAACAAGTCGATACAACATGTCACAACTCGTGCCACAACCGATTTATTAAAGGAAACGTTAAGTGATCTGATAGTTTCGGACCCATCTAGTACCAATAGATTATTTTCGGTGAGCATACTATGTAGTCGCTGGTGTACACCGATAAGTCAGAAACGATTGAAGACTTGGAGGACAACATTCCCGCGTTATTGCCGAAATACTGCTACGAATGTTGCAAAAAGTTCTTGAAAATGGGATCACTATACTGAACTACATACATCAGAGTCATATATGCCAAAAATTATCTTTAAATAGAAATAGGAAAATATTATCTTTCGAATAAAGTACTTTCATAAAAAGTTAAACATTTTATCTTTTTTTTTATCTTTTTTTTTATTAAATTTTTAAGTTATATACCTCTTAAAAACACTCAATATCATTGATAAAAAAGACTTAAACGAAGTTTGTCCGTTGAATTAAAATATATTGTGTAAACAAATCAAATTACTTACATCAAATCCAAAACAGTTCTGCATATCAGTATCCACTATTTTCTTTTCATCTTGATCCTCTTCGATTTCTTCTTTTGCTACCCGCCGTGCCGACTGTAATACCTTTACCACTTCATCATTTAATTCTGAAAGATCGCAAAAAAGTTAGGTATGTACATCATAATAGAAAACTAAATTGGTTATGACCTGATCTTGAGGACTTTAGTGATCCTCGCCAACATAACTGAATAAAATGACATTGCAATGATAATATTGCTGAACTTAAGTTAAATAAAATTAAATAAAATAAAACAAAATTAAATTAAATTAATATAAATTAAATAATATTGTTCTGAAGCTATTTTCTTGTGGCATTTTAAAGTAATTACTATTTTAATGGGAATAAGCCACAATTGAAGGTTAAAGTAAGTTTATTGACGTTTCAATTTCCACTTCGGAAATCTGCTCAAAATTCAAACATTAATAAATTAAACAAATTTTGTTTTTTGTTACTTGGTGAAAAATTCTTCTAATATTTTAATTTTATCTGACTCATTTATATTGACAATTCAGACATATATTATATATTTTAAAGTAGACGACTTTTAAACGATATTGCCAGTATTGCTGAGTTGCGTTCCTGGGACGACTTTATTGTAAGATAGTTCATTCGATTACATGAAATCAACTTTTCAAAATCAAACTGTTCTAACGAAAATTCGTTAATGGAGGAAAAACATCTGTTTTAAGATCTTAAGATCTGTTTTATTAAAAAATGATTATCCTTTATCGTTTATAAATAAGGAATTCCCAACAATCGACCGAATAGAACAGAATAACTTAGAACGAGATCCTACAGCATACACAAGGAATAATACGAGGAAAATAATAATACCATACATAAAAATTATCTGAAAAACTTACAAGAATAGGAAATAAATTCAACCTTTCAACAACATTCAAAATATCAAACACATTGAGATCTATTTTGTCTAAAACTAAATTTAACAATGAACAAGAAAAGACAAGAAGTTGTATTTATAAAATACCTTGTGAATGTGATCGGTTTTATTTAGGTGAAACATCAAGGCCATTAGAATAAGAGAATATCAATCTTATATTAAAAATAGAATTTGATAGATCTCAAATATGTAAACACGCATGGAATAGTGAACATAGGGTTCAATGGAATGATTCAAGTATAGTCCTAAAAGAAACAGATGGTAAAAAGAGATAAATCAAAGAAGCGGATCTAATTATGCTAAGTGAGACCAATTATGTCGCAAATTCCTCGACAGAATGCAGTAGGATCTGGCTATCCATATTAAAAGAGGAAGTTAATAATAGAAAAATGCCAGTATTAGTAAGTCAGTAACATATCGAGTATACATCATTTATATTTTTTAATATAATATAATAATAACAAACACATAAAATCAGAATTTGGTGTTTAGTAAACTAAATTTAATAATAAATACTTACCATGTCGGGATGTCTCACGATTTACTAAGGAATCACTAACAGCAGAATTTTACTGTTATCATGGCATGTGGTTGTCTTTTTAAAAAAGAATTACATGCTATGAATTTTTTCTGGCGGATATTCTCAAGTTAAAGTTGATTTCATGTAATCGAATGAACTATCTTACAATAAGTCGTCCCAGGAATGCAACTAAGCAATATTGGCAATATAATTTTAAAGTCGTCTACTTTAAAATGTATAATATATATCTGAATTGTCAATATAAATAAGTCAGATAAAATTAAATTAGAAGAATTTTTCACTAAGTAACAAAAAACAAAATTTGTTTAATTTTCGTATCTAAATCGTATTTAAACAGGTAAAGAGTAATTGACTAACATTTAAATACTTACCATGGTTCGGTAATATTGTTTCGCTCAACAATTCACCAGCACTGTCACCTACAACCACAGCTTGTTCCTCTCCATCAGCCAGATGAATTACTTCTAAAACTACATACTGCTGTCCGTCAGATCCTTCTACCGACATCAAATCGAGCTCTTCTTCATCTTCTGAACCCAATCCCTGCATGACCTCAACCTAAAATTAGATGTTATTGTTTTAATAAATATTGTTTAAAACTTCAAACTAATTGTTCCCGGAAACACGATTTCGATGTTCATAATATTGTTGATTTCAAACAGACATACGACTGAATAAAGAAAGAGCAGCCACTTATATAACATCTTGGAAAAATTCAACATCCCGTCGAAATATGTCCGATTAATAAAAGCAACGGTGGACTCACAATATTCCAAGGTCTAAAACAAGGCGATGGGCTGGATCATAAAGAGAGCTGAATGTCGAAAGAGCCAATATCCTAAAAACAAATCAGTACAACTTGCAGATTACGCTGATGGCATTAACACCATGTCCCGTATTTATAATTAACAAGAGCAGCCAAAGAGATTAGACTTGAAATAAACATAAAAAAGACAAAAACAACTAACACAGACAAGAACAAAGAGGATCAGAAATCAAATTAAAGTACAGGGCGGTGTTGTAACAGTGAAGAGCTTTACATATCTAGGAGTTGAATGAAATCTAGAGGAAACAGAAGAAACCGAAATTCAAAAAAGAACAGTGAAGAGTAACAAAGTCTATTTCTCCCTGACCGACATATTCCGCTAAAACCGTACGTCCAAAATCAAATATTAAGGTCAATAAAATGGATGTGAGACATGAGTGATATAGAAAGAAAGAAGTTTTCGAAAGAAAAATTCTAAGGAAGGGAGATATAGATATTTAGATATAATCACGGATTTTAATAACAACTATTCAAAGTAACACCAATTTCAGAATTCGCTAGGCTTCAGAAACTTCGATGGGCTGAAGCAAAAGTGGACAGAAGACCTAAAAGAACGCCACGTAAAAGATGGAAGAGCGAAGAGGCAAAGGACCAAATAATATTTAGCAAGAAGTAACTGGAAGAACTCAAGATTCCCGTTTTCTACTGAACAGTTACCAACAGACGCTCAAAATTTACTAAATGTCACAGCTTGGAAGGAGCAGTGCTGGACCACTCAAATTAAAGGCCGAAATTTCGGGAGACTAAGGCTCGTTTCTGCGTTGTAGCGCCATTGAAAGAAAAGGAAAACACGATGTAAGTAATTTCCTAACTATTAGATCACTGACAAACATTTGACATAAATTCATGTAAATTAAATAATGAGGTTTGTGGACGGACCGACTTTAAAAAATGTTAAGTAAATTTCTAAATCATCATCATCATCATCATTTGGCTCTACAACTCTAGGTGAGTCTTGGCCGCATTTACTATTTCCCTCCATTGTTGTCGGTCCTGAGCAGCTATTTCCCTTCCATTGCGTCCTTCCATCTCTATCTTGGGTGGCCAACTGACCTTCTACCATCGGGCCTTTCCCAGAATGTGGTGTTCAGAAGTATTTCGTTATTTGACCTTATGACGTGGCCGCCCATCTTATTCGGTTTGCTTTAATGTAACGGACTATGTTTTCATCTCCATATATTGTCTGGAGTTCATTGTTGTGTCTTCTTCTCCACTCTCCTGTTGTTTCTTCTCTACAAGGCCCATAGATAGTCCGCAGTATCTTTCTTTCAAGAACCAGTAATTTTGTCGTTTCCCGCTGGTTCAGCGCCCATGCCTCGCTTCCATACGTTATTGTAGGTCGAATTGTTGTCTTGTATACTCTTATTTTTGCTGATCTTGAGAGTATTTTTGATTTAAGGATGGTCATTAAAGAGTAATATGTCCTGTTTCCTGCTATTATCCTGGCTGCCACGTCATTTTCATATTTGTTTTCAGATGTTATGATCGCTCCCAGATACTTAAACTCTTTGACGACTTCGAACTTATATTCGTTAATTGTTACGTTTTGCCTAACCCTTGGTCTTGGGTTCTTCGTAACTACCATGTACTTGGTCTTATCCTCGTTTACCTTAAGACCAATTTCCTTGGCTCCGTCTCGAATAGGGTGAAAACTTCTTTTGCAGCTCTGGTGGATTGTGCTATTGTGTATAAACATTTTAAAAATAAACATGTGCAGTGAATGGTAATTTCATCATGCCTTCTCCTCTTAGTCGTGTAGAACTACTGCTTGGTACTTCTTTGGTGAAATACTCTAAAGAATATAATACAAATTGTGGTCATTGTTTAACAGTTTCCACTAAATAAATATCCCTTTAAACTTAATCTAAAATCTACTTACTGGTTGGCCATCTATTATCCGAATCTTCTTCTGTCGGCCCAACTTTAATTCCAGCTGCTTCTTCTGAATAGTGGGATCTGGATCGTGGAAAGCCATGTGCCTAATCAGATTTCCTTTGTGCCTAAATGCTCGAGTACATTCTGGACATTCGTGAGTTTTTTCTTTAGGTTCCGGTGGAACATAGTGCGGATTATGATAAAGATTTTGGTGTCTCTTGAGAAGTTGCTTCTGCCGAAAAGATTGGTCACATTGGTCACACTGAAATGGTTTTTGGTCAGTGTGAATAAGCATGTGAGATTCAAGGTGACGGGCCGATATTGAAGCGTATGGACACAGTTCGCATTTGTAGCATTTTTCTCCTTCATGTGATTTATTGTGAAGCTATAAGAAGAAAAGCATACATTAATAACTATTTCATAACGTACAACAAGATATACTGCGTATTCCGTCGGTCTTTTAAGATTAGGTACTTTCACGCATACATATCCCAACTTGTTGTTTATAATTTCCTACTTTCTTTATAATACAAATTTAAATAGTTAAATATCAGATATCTAACAAAAATCACAAATGAGATTATTCAAATGTGGACAAAGAATAGCTTTATCTGTCCAGCTTTACATTTAAACGTGGATAGAAAAAAATAAAATATAATTGCAGTGTTAGATCCAACTTGATCAACTCCAATTTTGTTCCCTGTAAAATTCTTTAATCCAATTAATATTCAGTTTTCTTTATATTTAAAATATCAATAATTTGTCCAAGGTTACCGTGAAACTCATTTATTTTGACGAGAAAGTTTATTGTGACTTTCTTTTTGGCAAAAGAAAATTCTTTTTTATTTCAATAACGTATAAAAAAATTTTTTTTTCAGTGAAGAAAGAATATAAGAGTAAATAAGAGATTTGTTTTTTTAGGCGACTAGCCAGATACTGGGATCAATTTTGGGAAAGAAAGTTACCTGTCAGTTTAAATTTCTCCACTGAGCACTGTGTACAGGGTTACGCAATAATTGAACTGTTACCTATTTAAATGACCATATTTTTTTGTGTGAAATTATTTTTTATTGATTCAAATGACAAAAAATTGGAAAACAATCAAAATTTCAGAATCTACTCACTTTAACCCGATGTGGTCACCTTTTGCCTTGACTATGACTTTCAAACTATTAAAAAACGAGTTGCATGCTGCACGAATGTAATTTTTCGGTATTTTGGCCCATTCACGAATAATCGCTTTTTTCAGCGCATCCATACCGGCATATTTTTTAGTCCTCACCTTGCTTGCGTCTGGCGAATTCGAAAGCCATTGTGTGAATGAAATGAAGTGTGAAACATGGTTTTTTAACCATTCTTGGTTCACACTAGCTTTATGAGACGGTGCCGAGTCTTGTTGGAACGTCCATGGTTTACAACTGAAATATTTGGAAACGGCTCTAAAGCAGCTTCTAAAACATTTTCCCGATAATAAGTTGCATTGATTTTGACACCAGATTCAACAAAAACGATTTGAGAGCGTCCGTAAGCGTTTACAGCTGCCCATACCATTACTTGAGATGGGAAATTACTTCGGGTGGCCGTTCGTAAGCCCAAACTTTCGTAGGTGCGTTCGGTCAAGTAAACACGATCATTTTGAGAGTTTATGAATTGCTCAATAGGGAAATTTTTCTCATCAGAGACCACTGTGTGCGGAAATTCGCCACGTTCGTGCAGGCGTAACAACTCTTTTGCTCTTTCAAGCCGAACTTTTTTTGCTTTGGTGTAAGATTGTGTGCTTTTTGGAACTTATAAGACTTGACCTTGAGTTCCTTTTTCAATATTCTTTGCATGCTTCGCTGGGATATTTTCAGTTCTTTGGCCATTTGATTATCACTATGACGTGGCTATGAAGTCGAGCCTTCACTCGATATACGATATATATACGTTATGATACGATACACAAACATTTTATTCACTTTGAGGTGTTTGAGCTGACGAACAGTAGCTGATTGTGATTTTCCAGTCAAATATAAGGTAATCACACTATTACGTTTAAATTCCATTGCGAATAACTTTTGTTGTATGTATAAAACTTAAATGCAAATGATTTTGACGACTTATAAACATACTGAAGTGTTATCAGGCCAACTTTGACGTAGCTGTCATAATCGATTTGCCAGATATATCGATGTGAAGTTGGTATCAGTTCAATTGCGTAACCCTGTAGACTGTGAGAAAGCATTTGACCTCAATCTGGCATATCCCAACTTGTTGTTTATAATTTCCTACTTTCTTTATAATACAAATTTAAATAGTTAAATATCAGATATCTAACAAAAATCACAAATGAGATTATTCAAATGTGGACAAAGAATAGCTTTATCTGTCCAGCTTTACATTTAAACGTGGATAGAAAAAAATAAAATATAATTGCAGTGTTAGATCCAACTTGATCAACTCCAATTTTGTTCCCTGTAAAATTCTTTAATTCAATTAATATTCAGTTTTCTTTATATTTAAAATATCAATAATTTGTCCAAGGTTACCGTGAAACTCATTTATTTTAACGAGAAATTTTATTGTGACTTTCCTTTTTGGCAAAGGAAAGTTCCTTTTTATTTCAATACCGTATAAAAACATTTTTTTTTCAGTGAAGAAAGAACATAAGAGTAAATAAGAGATTTGTTTTTTTTTAGGCGACTAGCCAGATACTGGGATCAATTTTGGGAAAGAAAGTAACCTGTCGGTTTAAATTTCTCCACTGAGCACTGTGTAGACTGTGACAAAGCATTTGACCTCAATCTGGCATAGCTCGATGTTAAGAGCTCTTACAGAGTGTAGTGATGGGCGAAATGACTCATTTGAATGTTTCGAATCATTTGAATAATGACATTTCATTGACTTTGAAATAAAAATGACATTTCATTATTACAGACTGGAATATAGAAATTTTTAACATTTTTAAAGTTAAAAACAACCTAACATTTACATCAACTTAAAACAACTGTGATCGTTTCAAACTTAAAATCAGTCAGCAGTTAGCCACTTGTTCTTTAAGTTTTAAAATTTTTCCGACTGCTAACATAATTGATTTACGACGAACAGCACAGCAAAAAGCAACACAGATGGCAACACGAACAACGAGCAACAACGAGAGAGTCGACGTGATTTTTGGAGTCGACACGATGACAAGTACTGACTCGATGTTTCGAAACAGTAAAGATTTACGACGAACAGCACAGCAACACAGATGGCAACACAGTATATACCGAATAACGAGAGAGTCGACGTGATTTTTGAAGTCGATACGATGACAAGTACTGACTCGATGTTTCGAAACAGTAAACATTTAATGTACCGAAACATTGAAACAGTTCTGTGACTCAACTCATTGCTTCGAAACATCGACTCACTAGCCAACACTAACAGAGTGCAGTATTGATCATATGTATTCTTCTTCGGAATATATATAATAGCGCAACAGCTGCAGTGAGAATATACTATGGCGAAACAAACACATTTCCCTTGGAGAAGGGTATTAGGCAAGGAGACACCACCTCTCCTAAACTATTAGCCACTTTAATACAGAATGAATATGAAAAACAATAAGTGGAAAAATATTGGAGTCAACATAAATGGGGAGTTTCTGAAGAACTTGAGGCTTGCAAACGACATAGTCCTTATTGCAAATCGGGTAGATTATGCTCGCCAACTCCTTCAATACCTTCAGAGCTTTTATACACGAGTTGATCTTTAAATTAAGTCTTTCAAAAACGCAATACATGACCAACCTTGTACTGGCCAAAAACATTTCAACTAACGGAACGAGAATACAACTATAATAATGTCTGGGAAACGAGATTAAATTAGGAAGGGACAATCAAACAACAGAGTAAAAAAGGAGAATAGAACTAACATGAGCAGCTTACGGAAAACTTAGGGAAGTCTTTAGATCAGAGATTCCCATGTGCTTGAAAAGGAAGTTATCTGATCAATGTATATTCCCAGTACTAACGTATTGAGTTGAAACATTGACCCTTGCCAGAGAAGTAGTCAATAAAATACAAGTCGCGCAGAGAGCAATGGAGAGGTCAATGTTGAATATATCCGTCAGAGACAGAGTTTCAAATCAAATGGTTAGGAGAAAACTGGTGTTACGGACGCCATTATAAGAATTACAACGCTGAAAAGGAACTGTTGCCAGAGTCAGAGATGATACCCTGGGGAGATCACGGATCTCTTTAGCGAGGATTTGTCAGAGGCCTTGTTTACTAAGGTTTCTGTTATGAAGGGCAGACCACTTGACTAACGATGATGCGGCACGTTTCTGCCGATCAAGTTGATGAGAAGGTGCTAGGGTACTTTAAAGAGAGGTATTCAGATCTTCTGTTTACTCCGGTAGTTGAGGAAGAAGAGGGTGGGGTTGGCACAATGTTCAATTCATTGAGCTTTGTTGATGGTGATGGGCGAAGGGCTTGCCCCCAACGTGCATCCACAAGCTCATACCCAACAACCCGAATATACCTGGGGCGGTCAGGTTTTTGGCGGTAAGCCGTAAACTTTTGCGTAGCATTTGCATTGCCTCTTAAATTGATTATGGACACTATAGAAGAGAAAGTTACTTCAAAGAAGTGAGTAAGATAACATAAACATGTAAAAATTCAAAATTAATATTTTAGAAGATACTTACTTTGTAACTATACCTATCTGGAAACGATTTCCCACATCTCTTACATTTAAGAGGTTTATCTGAGGTATGAAGTTTTTGTACATGAATTCTTAAATCAGTCTTGCGTCCACAGGTCGTAGGACACAAGTCACACTGAAATATGGGCTTGTCTCCAACTAAAAGAAAATAATACGTTAGTATACCTTGTAAACTATAGTTTTACTGTATATTAAGTAGTTTCATGTCAGATATAATGGCAAAACTATATTGTTATTTTTTCAGGTAAGTCCACGAGTAACAAGAAAACAAAACTGTCAAGAAGACAGTTCCACATACTGCCATTGATCTGCGTTTTATCACTTCTTTTTCAACAGAATTATTAAATTTCACAATTTAATATATATATATAATATATATATATATATATATATATATATATGCTCCACTCCATGTGAAGCTGTCTTGCCATATTGCTCATCCTTTACTCTATTTTTTTCTTAGAAAAGGGTAGAAGAAAAATTATGATTAGAAGATAACGCACTAAACTGATGAAAGCATTTCTTTTTTGAGAACGTAAGCTTTAAAAATAGCGACATAGCTGACAATAGTTTACGGATCAAAGTAAAAGCTCGCCTAATATTATTCGCCTTATTATACACACACATGTCCAAAAGTTTGCAATTCCTACAAATAATATGTATATCTACGCATATGGTGGTTTTAAAACTGTTGTTATTTATTCTAGAGCGTTTTTAAATTAAAATGATAAAAAATTTGAATCGTTTTTGTATAATTTTGGCCACATTCAATTGATTAGCGTATTTACACATTATTTCGGTCTTTGTTTAAATTTGATTTGAGCCATTTAAAATGCCTGTGATATCTCATTTTGACAGATCTAGAGTAATTGTTTGGTTACAACAGGGCTTTAGTCAAAGTTATATCGTGAATATTGTTGATATTACTCAGAGTGCTGTATCGAAAATTAAAAAAAAAATCCAAAATACAAATGACGTCAAGGATCGTCCCAGAAGTGGTATAAGTCGACGTACAACAGCAGCACAAGACCGGCAAATAAAATTGATAGCTCGTAGAAATCATCTGGAGTTTATAAGTGGTATATCCAGAGAAATTTCTAGGCTTCAAGGACAGAATATTTCACGGAAAACAATAACACATAGACTAAATACGGTAAATTTGTATCGTAGAAGACCGCTACAAGTTCCTAAACTAACCTACCAACACAAAATAGTAAGGTTGCAATAGGCTAAACAAATGATACATCATGGTTCTAACTAGAATAACGTGATGTTCTCTGAGAGTCAAAAATTGGCTTGGTATCTAATTTGCAAAGAACACTGGTTTGGAGGGCCCCAGAACGACAAGCCCGACTAGAAACAGACCAACCGCGTGTTCCATTTAAAGGTGGCAGTATTATGGTTTGGTGTGGTATTATGAGTGGTACACGGAAGTCACTGCTGGTTCTGGAGAGAAGAGTTATTGGTGCTGTGTACATCGAAGAAGTTTTAAATCCTGTCATACGTCTATTCGGAGGGGCAGTAGATGATGAATTTGTATTTATGCATGACAACGCACCTTCTCATCGAACAGCAACAGTACAAATTTTTCTGGAAGAAGAAGGAATATCTACATTACAGTGGCACTCGAATTCGAATGGCATGAACGTTATTGAACATGCTTAGGACATTCTCAAAACACGCATCAAGAAGCGAAACAATGACACTTCGAGAACTAAAAGATGCTGCTCGTGAAGAATGGAAGAGAATTCCGCAAGCCCAGCTCGACCAGTTAATCGGCAGCATGCCAAATCGCCTACAGGCATGTATACAGGCCAATGGAGGAAATACTAATTATTAGTTTTATTAAAAATTATTTTTTTCTACACAATTTATTTTTAAATGTAAATTGTACATTGTAAGCTTTTCACTCCAAGAGAATAAATTATTTGTTTGCATATAGTTTATCTATTTTTGAAATTTATTTAGTATTGTTGAGAATTGAAACAAAATGATGTTTAACTATTCAGAAGAGTTTATATATAAAAATCAATAAAAAATGAAATATTCCAATATTCCAAATTTTTGGACATATATTATGTGAATACAAGGATTATAAAAACAATCAACATTTTGTTTACAATCCTCAGTCAAAAATGTTCATCGCCGTCAAGTAATATTATTAAGACGCTTTTTTTTGTGAGGATGATGAATCCATTATCAAAATTATTAGTTTCTAGTAGTAAAAATATCTTGTTTTTCCCTACATAATGTTAAGATAAATGCGTCATCAGTTTTTCTGTATGTTGCAGTTCGACTGTACTAATCTTCAACACATACATTCACCGCACACAGTATCTAATTTTTTTTTTTAGATTTTATTTCGGTACAAGGAAACGTGTATTTACTTGTTTATTTATGTAGGTGTGGGCATATTTACGTGTATTTACTGTACGTGTATTTCAGTTAAATATAAAATATATCATAAATATTCACGAATGATATACATAAAAGGTAAAACATAAATAACATAGTTTTTCTTCAGACGTCAAATAATGATGACATTACTTATCTAACTTGATCCTGTCAAAGTTTGATGTCTCCGCCGGCAGCAGTTTTTTTTTCCCATTTCTTTACGGCGGAGGAAAAAATGTTGTCATGGCAACAATATGAAACATGTCACAAAGCAACAATACAAATGTCATTAACAACAATTAAACGATAATTTTTATTTATAGTAATATTAAAAGTACAATTAGTTAATGATGCATTTTCAAAATTGAAACCGTGCAAAAATGTTCCCGACTCTTGATACGCATTGGTAATTGTTGATGATACTGATGGTCGAGAACAACTTTCAGCAATCATTCCCGATGTTGGCGAATCATGAGGGTTTAAAATTTTTTGAGCATTATCGTTCTTATTTCTTATTGAATCCTCTATATATCCTTCGGCAACCGTGCTTGATTTCCAGCTCCCATGTCGTTTGAGGCATTCTAGATTTTCGCCTCCATCAATTAAAAGTGTTGCCGAAGTTCGTCGTAAAGAGTGACCCGTGTATGCGCTTGCATCGTTTAAATTTAAATAACTAGCTACGTTTTGGGCTACTGCGCTGATCGAATGTATTCCCATGACGCTTCGGTAACACTTTCCATTTTGGTACTTGATAAAAAATCGGTTTTCTGTGAAATTTTCAGGCCGCAGTGATGCATACTTTTTATACAGTTTAATGTAGTTTTGACCAATTATCGTAAAATATCTAATTTGTCGTGTTTTACTGTCTGGGATTTTGATAACTATTACATTTGCTTTATCCTCAATGTCCACAGTCTTCACTTTTACCATTTCGACCCACCGACAGGCGCCGGTAACCCCAATTAACAAAACAATCTGAAATATTTTTATAATTTAGTAGAGTATACTACATGCTTTGCAATATAATTTTTTTTACCTTTAATCCTAAATACAACTTATCTGGCGCTTCAAACAAAAATTTATCAAACTCGTCTTTAGTGAAAACTTTAGACTTCTTTGCAGTATATCCTTCGCTTGTTTTTTTCAGAAAGGCACGTAACTTTAAAAATTTGCTTATATCCACATTTTTTCTAATAACTAACTCGGATTTTATCATAGAGTATCGTGACTACATTGTAGAAGATTTCCATTTATTTTCATTTTCCATTATATTAAAATATGCCAGTAAAACGTCTTCGGTAACTTGCCGTACTCCTCTTGTATCGCACCATTGCTTGTACGCTAACCGATACTTTATTCCGGACTTGGAGGGCCCCAAACGTGCTACTTCATCATTAGCCGCGGACTCAATTTCGTTTAGGTTTTCCATTTTTGCACTAAATTTGCGCTTGCGGTTGCAACAACAATAAGTTGTCTTTAATAATTGCAAACAACTGTCAAACAACTGTAACCAGGGAGACGCAAATCCCACCGACGACTTAATTATTTTAATTTCTAACATCTAGACGACTTTGATAGTTGTCACAGTTAATTTCGAGTAAAAATAGCGTATGAATTGTACTATTTATGGTTGAAAATTGCTACGTTTGAAGAAAAAATAGTATACTTTATTCGGCAAAGAAGCGACTTTTCTTGACTTGCCCTCTATTACGCGCCTCACTTCGTTCGGCGCGTAATATCGGGCGCGTCAAGAAAAGTCATGCTTCTCCGCCTCATAAAGTAATATACTATTTCATTTATCATAATTTCGCTGCAGAATACAAATACTTGAAAACAAGAGTTTTTTAAAATTTCCTCTTAAGGTTACAGAATACTAAAAGCTTCCAAATCTACTCAGTTTTATGTAATAAGGTCGTCAGTCACAGCCTTTGTTGACTCTTAACTCTATAGCTTAGTAGCTAGGTACTGGCTAGCCAAGCCAGGCGGCCTGGGTTCGATCCCGGCAGACACCATAAATTTTCCAATTTCTAATATAACTGAGACGGGCGCAACCGTGCTTCAGAGGGCACGTAAGCCGTAGGTTCCGGCTATGTAAGTACTCGTTAATACTAAAACCTGAGTCAGAAGGTTAGACGAAGGTTATTACCAACCGCTTCAGAAAAAAAAACATAAATAGGTACAATAACTCTAATTTTGGTCGCAACACAATTCACGGTGGACGCTTAAATCACATATACAAAAAAGTTGCCCTTTTTCATTGGAGAGAATCAAAATAGTTAACTTATTGGCTAGAAAACGTATGATTTCTGAGTTGGTTGGGCTATAGCCCAAATAAGTATTTTTCATGTCTTTTATTTTAGAAATTTCATTCTGTACAACTTTTAGATAATAACAATATCTACAGCGATTATGTTTGATTACAACAAGACAAAACTTATCCTCACTATGTTGTTGAGGTTAGAGAATATTTAAACAACGTTTTTATTAGTAGGATTAGAAGACGTGGTTTGTCGAATAACCCCTATGATCATGTGATAGCAATGGATTAAATTCTATATGGTGTAATTTAACAAACACCGTGCACAAAGCAAAACCTGCCAATAATCAAGAATTAAAAGATAGAATAAATGGAGAGATATGGAGAAGAGAGAAGAAATATACGGTATGCTGTTTGGAAGTAAATGGACAATCTTTTGGACACCATAGTAAATTTCAGATGATTGTCAATAAAATTATTTAATTAATATAAAAATCGTAAAATATACATGACGATCCTTTGAGAGTTAAAAACACCGTTCCCTATGCTGACGGAAAAACGAAAGATCTGACAACAAAGAAAATGCGGATATATTACACAAACCAAAAAATGTCATAACTATGCTGTTAGCGACTGCAATAATTCACGCATTCCACGCATTTGACTCACATTGTATAATAAAATGGCATTTATACGCAATAATTGGCACTCTTTTGCAACTAACTGATTTTGAGTTATTAAACGATCATATTATCAGTCAAAATGTGAAAAGTTGTGAAAATGTCAAACAGTAAAAAAACGAATCAACCCTTAAGCCTTTGAGAGTACTGAAAAATAAAATATGTGAAAACTGTGGGGTTTTCTGGGAAAATTTGCGTGAAACTAAATTTTCTTATGTAAAGAAAACCTTGATTTGTTAAAAAAAAAACTCTCCTTTATGCCATTATACGAATCGATAGAGGAGTATTGACTATATTTTTAAAAATGTTGGCATATGGGACCACTGGTGCCGTAAGGGTGTTAATTATGACCTAAACATGTAATGTTAATAGGTCAATATCCGTGATTTTCTCCTTCATGCCACTAAAAGTTTGTTAGTTTTCAAGATAAGGAACGGCAAGTCTAGAAAAGAAAAAAAAATTACTTAGGAAAATTTGTTGTAAAGTTGTAAATTTCCTTTTTTTGCTGTCTCATATATGACATTTTTAGTACATAAAAAGGCATAAGGGATAAAATCCTGATAGAAATTCAGATTGAAATCCGATGGTCTAATAGCATGTACTCGTATCTACTCCGTAGGGAGAAACACTGGCGAGAAGCCTAAAGTTCTGACTCTAAATTTATCTTCGACATACCACTACTTGATGAGCCCTAATAGAGTGAAACTTGTCCTAGTTTGGACGGAACACAAACTTTTAGAAAGAAATTACAAGCACCTATGACTTCCGGATGCGACTTACTGCGGCCTCTCTAGGTACTTTTTTGGAATAATAAATTTTATAGGCAGGTTTGAAAAAATTATTATTCATTCGATTGGGAAAAACTTTCAACTTGGGAGCATTATGCTGGTGCCCTTTATTCATTTATTTGCCGAGTCAATGAATCTATGACTTATACCCATCGAGCAAAAAGACAAAAGAGGGAATGTAAAGGTAGTGGGGGCAAACATATTGTTAGACAGGAAGTGCGATCTTTAGAGGCCACATTAAACGAGGAAAGAGAGTCTCTCTCCTTGTTTGACATCAAATTTAGTTGGGTTATGTTATTGTTTGTCCCAAATGTCACATGAAATCTTATTTATATTGAAGTTTTTTAACAATTGTGTCGTATTTTAGACTCTTATCATTAATAATTAATTAAAACTTTCTCGTCTAAGACACATTCTGAAAAATATTATATAGCTACTGTTGATAAGTGTCGGAAAATTTAAATTTGGCGCATTCGCATTTCCGGATATGTCCGCCATCAGAGACCACTTTTTTGGTCTCCTTTTCATAAGGATTAAATTTCCTCTTTTGCCTTATTGCTCGATGCTTATACCATCGATCATTTTACTGATACATACAAAAAATTACTAAGAATTATTTAATGAAGTGCTTCGATAATTGTTGATCTGTCAAATAATTTTTTCGATCAGTAACAGTTCTTATTTATTTCAGCAATAATTTGCAGATATTATTAATGCATATACGACAAACGAATAAAAACAGGTATTGTTTACCGTGAGCATCTACCTGACATACATAAATTTGCACTTCATTGAAATTTCTTTCTAAACATAAAAAATAATGTTTTAAGTGTGGACTTACACCTTAACATTAATAGCATATTTAATTAAAACATTAATAACAACTCAATAAAATATTTTCTTACTATTATGTGTAAGTTTGTGGGCCTTGAGACTGTTTGACTGCGTGAGTCGTGTATGACAAATATCACATTCATAAGGTTTCTCCCCAGTATGGATTCTCAGGTGCCTCTTCAGTTTAAAAGTATCAGGACTGGCATACGTGCAATGTGGACATTGATAAGGCCTTTCCCCGGTGTGACAGCGAATGTGGCGCTTCAATTTGGATAGTTCAACGCTAGCATAATCACATTCTGTGCATTTATGAGGTTTTTCGTGGGTGTGACGGTATCTTACGTGACGAACTAATTCTCCTGTAAAAATAACGATAACATGATATAGTCTATAAAAGCAAACATAGTATTAAATAAGAAGTGTTATAACTAAAGTTTGGATTTTTTGCAATTTTATGTAAATTACATATTTTGCATAAAATCAAACGTTAGTGCATATATTTCGTTTTTGTACACAAAACGAATAATTTTTACTTTTTTGACATAAAATCACATAATAACATCCTACAGTCTATCCACTGGAACTTTGCATAAGTATGACATTATTAATGAATTATTTTTTATGTTACGTCTCTTTCCTACTCACAGAAACTGAAACGATAAACTTAAACCTTCTGTCCATACCATCGAGCAAAAAGATAAAAGAGGGAATGTAAAGGTAGTGGGGGCATAAATATTGTTAGACAGGAAGTGCCATCTTGAGAGGCCACTTTAAACAAGGAAAGATAGTCTTTCCTTGTTTGAGAAGTCAAATTTAGTTTGGTTATGTTATTGTTTGTCCCAACTGTCACATGAAATTTTATTTATATTGAAGTTTTTTTACCAATTGTGTCACTTTTTAGACTATTATAGTTAATATTTAATTAAAACTTTCTCGTCTGAAAAATATTTTATAGCTATTTGTTAATAAGTGTTGGAAAATTTAAATTTAGCGCCTTTGGATTTCCGGATATGTCCGCCATCAGAGGCCACTTTTTTGGTCTCCTTTTCATAACGATTAGATTCCCTCTTTTATCTTTTAGTACAATGGTCGGTGATTCACTTAACCTAACCTACTAATTGTAAATTTTATTTTCACAGCGTTTGTAGTATCTTCCTTGTAGTACCTTCGTGTTCAATTTATTAAGGAAAGAATTTATTTATTAACGAATAATGTAATACAATACCTCTAAATTGACATTTAGTTATTTAAATATGGCTAAAATCACGTCAACGGAGTGATCTGAAATATTTTAGGAGTTTTTATTTTTAGAGTATTCCTGGTAAACTACTTAATTATTAAGCACAACTTATATTAAATGCGTTGTGAATATTTCGATATAGAAAAAATTAATGGAGGCCTTTGGAGCCATTTTAATCTGTTTAACTGTTTTAATCTGTTTGTTCGTTTATCAAAATACATATCATTGAACAATTCTTTATTTACGAGAGTAGCAGCTGCATTAAAAATATCACGACGAACAGTATCTATCTACATAAAAGGCTAGGACGAGCAATTTTCACCTCCAATCTCGGCCCAATCGGAGGCTGGACCAAAACGTTCACCTCAGCCTGAAGCCGGAGCTAAGAATGAACAAGCGGAGGATGAATAAGGAGCACCTCAGAAAAATCGGCCAAAGCGCCGCAGAATTTATGGCACCGAGGCAAAAATAAGGAAGAAGGCCAGAGAGGCGATGGAAAAAGCACCCGCGGGAGCAGCTCATTACCTCAACGAAGGGCACGCCGCGGAAGCATAAGAAGTCACGAAATGGTGGAAACACCGCTTCCCAAAGCTTCGCGGAAGCCGCCTTAAGACATCTTAAGCTCGCTATTATAGATAAGGTAAACCCGTACGAAAAGATCACTGCCGACCGTGCAAACCTTAATAAATGCAGCCTGATCGAGGAATTGGTCAGAGCAATTTTGTCCACCTCCAGCAGCCAGGTAAAAGCTCCCACGTTCAAATTGTGGACTGTGGATGTGACCATCAGAGTAGTCTTTGATGACAATGGGGCACTTGTATGGCTGGAAAAGGTTACAACTGATCTCAATCCGTAGAAGGAGGCATCACTGGCTGTTGTCAGTCAATATGGGCTTCCAAAGCTTACAAAGGCCTCTCTATGGATCCTGGAGGGTACTACAAGCACCTCTGATGACGGCGCAAAATCCAGACATGGCAGTTGCGAGATGGTGCACCTGCCACCATGAGGTAAAAAAGGATCCTAAAGGACACCTGATGACATGGCTGTCCTTAGGAAAAGGGCAATGAGACTGAACTATCCCTTCCACAGGCAGGCTGCGACTCAATTAAAATACAAGACAGTATAGGGAGACAAACGTAAGGAATGCCTATTGCATATACACCGATGGCTCCAAAATTGAAGAAGGCTCAGGATGCGGAATATACTCTAGATCAGTAAACCTAAGAATAAGGTGGTGTATGGGCAAAAATGCCAGCGTAGTTCAGACAGAACTGGCTGGTATCTCCATAGCTGCAAAAGATATAACCCAAAAAGGTATAGTCGGGAAAACTATAATAATCTGCACAGATAGCAGACAAGCGCTACTAACCTTAAATAGATCACGTGTCACATCAGGGTTAGTAATGGAGTGTCACGAGTCACTAAATCGAGCTTCGGATGGTAATACCATCATCCTGAGGTGGTAATACCATCATCCTGTCCTTAAAGGACACGATAGGAATAAAGGCAACCGCATTGCTGACCAATTAACTAGAAGCAGCAGTCCTAAGACTCTTAGGACCTGGGGATCTTTTTGGTTGGTCAACGACAATAATTGCGGAAATTGTCAAATGTCAAACCGTAAAAAGATTGGAAGAAAGGCAAGGATGTAGACTTGCCAAGATAACAATAAGTAACCTTGAAAAGTCAGCATCAAAGAAGTACTTGGGAATGACCAGGAAAAACCTACGCTTGAAAGTTGGTTTTTTAACTGGTCATTGTAAACTAAGCAAACACCTCCACACATTGGGGCTAGTAGATACACCTCAGGGTAGGAAGGGTGAACGAGAAGACGAAACTGTAGAGCATGTCCTATGTGAATGCCCGGAGTTATCACAGCTCCTTGGGAGGATGCACAATTGGCTAATTGTGGCCTAAGTACCGTGGAACTTAACTCGCCCTCCATACTCTACAGATACAGAGAAAGCTAGAACGACAAGTTACACTGTTTGTCCGGTAAGGTAACCACGCCACCTAGGAAAGAAATCTGAACTATTAACATCTGACATTTCAATTATATTTTGTTCTTGAAACGGTAATTGAAAGGTTTATTCGTATGTATCATATAGTTCTGTGGCTCTCTTATTTTCAGTTAGGTTGATATTAGGTTTTTTAAGTTTCAAACTGTTTTGTTACCCAACGGTAGGTAATTAAACTGAGTGTAAACATGGCTAAAGAAAATTTATATTACATATAAATATAATATTGCTTACCCGAAGTAGTAAAAGCTGCATCACAGTATCTACAAGCATGTGGTTTTGTTCCAGTATGGGTGTTCACATGATTCTGGAGAGAAGCTAGAGTCTTAAATCCCCTCTCGCATACACTACATTTATGGGGACGTTCTTCAGAATGTGATTTCATGTGCCTGGAAAGAAGATACCGTTTGGGGCTAGTATAGTTGCAATAGTTACACATGTGAGCTTGTGCAACAACTTGCGATTTTCTAGGCAGAAGTTTAACTATCTTACTTTTATCGTCTTCGTCTGAATCTACTACTCCTCCGTCTTCGGCATCATCGAAATCATACACTACAAAGAATTATATTTATCATTAAAAATATAAAATTTGTAAATTATATATGCAATATTTTACATAAAGAATATACTTTGCATAGTTTAAATATTAAACAAAGTAAACATATAAAGCTAAAGCCCTATTGAAAAAGTTAAATTATTATATACACATTTAGAAAGTTAAAACAACAACAGAAAAATACTGCAAACAGGAGTATATCGCAAGAATGAAAATAACATATATGTACTCAACTAAAATGTGGAGGATACATTGAATGACAGAAAATTTTAAATTAGTCACACTAACTATAAGAGCAGTCTTCTTTATTATTTTACAGCACAGAGTTCCTTATAGAATTGTTTTAATGAGCTCAATGGAACATATAGCAGTAGCACTATCATAAAACGAAACGACGCGACGTAGCATTTTAAAATTCCGATCTGTGTGAAGTTTTAACTCACGTACTTCAAATTTAACCTTGTATAAGGTTTTGATATGCGTTGTCAAAAACCTTAAAAAACAGTTTAGTATCTCTTCGATTAGAATAAACAAAATCTAATCATTTATTTGCATTGGAAATTGTTGTCATCGGGAAAATTAATATTTAACATTGTATAAAGATTTAAGAAAGTATCAAATTGTAATAGACATTTTTGTTTGTAAGATGTAAATTAGTATTTCCAGTTAAATCTATGTTCCAGCTAATAATAAATATAGCTTTTATGTAAGAACATAGTATTGTTGATTTCTCTAACAATATTCTTTTCTTGTGTAACACATATAATATAAATTTTAACAAATTTGCTGAACGAACATACAAGATATTTTGGTGATTCTTTCTTGTTATTACACTCCATCACTTGTAAAACCTAACCCAACCCAACTTCATAAAACCTAACCTTCATAAATAAAAAAAATACGATGAAATTTGAAACCGACATTTTTTTGGAGATTGTTAATTGAATTTTAGTTCATAGAAATAACACAAAGGTTCATCACTGGCAACACTTTGGTGTAAAAAACCATTGTTTTTTGTTTATAGCGCAACAGCAACTTTTTTATAAGCAGCACTATGAATCACAGAATTGACAGTTCCAACATGGATATTTAATAGCTAATAAATTTCTCTTTCTGTCGGACTGAATAACAGCACACGTTATTTTGACAGATGTTCGACCTTGAATGTCGTTTTGTACCTCGCTAACACGTAATAAAATAAATGAAGTCCAATACAAAGATGACGAAGACACTGATACACTATCTATTCCTCATCACCATCATTATCATTTCTGTATCTGAGGGATATATTTAACATTGACATCTCCATTGATCTCTGTGCCCTATTTGTATCTTATTGATTACTTTTCTGGTAAGATTCGTTGTTTTTGCACCATACGTTGATGAACTGGGAGTATACATTGATCAAAGACCTTCCTTCTCAAGCACATGGAAATATCTAATCTGATCGGACTTCCCTCAATTTATTTATTTTCCACGTTAGTCCTATTCTCCTGTTTAACTCTGTTGTTTGACTGTTTCCTACTAATTTAATCTCGTGGCCCAGATACTTATAGGTTTACACTTTTTCAATTTGCGTTCCATTAGTTGAAATGTTTTTGGCCAGTACAATGCTGCAATAAGGACTATGTCGTAAAATCGAGAAAACGTAAAATCTGATCATTCAAATTCTGATGAGATCCAGACTACAGTCTGATCCAGTAAAAAATGTTTTCATTATCATTAGTGTTTTCCCCGCTTGTTCGGTTATTGATAGAATTGTTTTTTTTATTTATTTTATTTGCACCAAAATATTTATGGAAGTTACCTGTTCTATTATTTGTCCCTGGGCATAAAAATGTACGTTCATTGGTGTCGTTGAAAATACTAGATTTTAGTTTTGGACACATCTAGATTTAAGCCGAACTTATCGCTATAACACATTACCGAATTGATTATATTTTGTCGTTCTTGTGTGTTGGTTGCTATTAGGACGGTATCATTAGCGTACCTGATGTTATTTATGCTGGTTATTTAGTAATACAGACTAAATAATAGCAGTGATAAGACGCAACCCTGTCGCACTCCTCATACTTCGTATATCTTCAGATCTTCAGATGTTGCTTGCTCTATTTACATTGTTGCGAGCTCTATTTCGATTATTGTCATTTGGTATCAAAATATATTCGCATGCAGAGAATAAAATAAGATAATAAATGTCACTTGTAATATACGACATTGCGTTATTATTTAATAAAACTGGAATACAAAATGAATTAAAACTATATGGAATATACATTTCTAAGAGGCCATAAATGTTATAGAAATGGCATTTCTGAGAGATACTGGACCTTAACAAAAAGGTTTCAATGGTAGTAAGCAACTTATTACAATGGCTCTTCACCCCAATTAATATTTTTCCAAGGGGATAACTTTACGATTTTTAAATTATTTCTTTCGTATTCCCTTATGTAAACATGCATTTACTCGTTTTATCTGTTAATGCAATAATTTCTCTATTAATATATACAAATGGTGATTAATTATTTGTTATTTTATATGGTGATTATTTTTAAACTGTGAAAATTTTTAGAAGTATCGTTTGAATGAAAAATTTCACTTACCAGTCATATCTTGTTCTCCGTCAGTCTGATCTCCTTCTTTAATATCCAAGGGATCTTGAACAATAAGCACATAGCTAAGTTCGCCGGAATTGTTATCAGATGGTACTACTGTCACTCTTTGGTATGCGTTGCCGGAACTAATTACAAACTGGTTATCTTCATTTTGCTGGATAATCTGCTAAAGAATAACATAATTATAAAAAAAGTATCAGTATAATAAAATAATACAAAACATAATTAAAACAAAACTCTTTTAACAAAAGTATTTAGGTAGTTCAATGGCATTCCTCAGAAGAACTTCGTAAGTCTGTTTCTATTTAATACTATCGAAAAACCAACCAACTTCACTTTTTTGCCGATTTTAAGGTAAATACTCCTTTCGACTTAAAAATTCTCAAAGAATGTACTGACAAAACCAGACAGGTCGCAGATTTTAACTGCGTGAAACAGAAGGGGTTAAAAAAATCTATGACACTTTCATTGAGCCAAAAACAGATTTGTGCAGTTGTCTATTAAAATAAAATATTTTATTATTTACAATATTCTAGTGCTGTTAAAACAAGACAAGTGCCAGTTAGGTTATTTTCGCTAACTATTTCAGTATGGATAAACAAATTTCATGTGATAGATATAACATGTTACATAGATTAATAGAAATTTACATGTCAAAAAATAACTTCGAGATATAACTGAATATCATTAAAGAAATGGCAGTGAACAATGTGTAGAACGAACACACAATAAATATATTCTATCTAAATCAAAAACTGCATAATAAAGTCCTGAAATTAGTATTTCCACCACCAGAGAGAAAACCCAGTATATTCTGCTCGATTACATATACAGGCAAGATATCAACGCAAAAAGCAAAAAGCAAAAAGCAAAAGCAAAAAGCAATTACACAGCGTTTTATACAAACTTAAATGTGGCGACTGCTCAAAAACTTACATTAGTCAAACTTGTTAAACTTTTATCAAACGTATAGCAGAACATAAAAGTGCTTTCAATAATAGAAAAACATTCTCATAATCATTCTTTTAATGACGAATGTCAAATTCTTCACATTCAAAATAAAGGCCTTAAACTATCTTTATTAGAATCTATGGAAATCAACAAATTAAAAATACAGACATAATTCTGCATGACCAACTTAACACAAACAGTTCTCCCCTCCTGAATTTATTCACTTAAAGCCTATAAAGTGTAAACATA